ACATTCACCACACATTATCATATATACCCACACACCACACATCACACACACATACACATTCACCACACATCACACACATACAACCCACACACACACATATACTGTCATCACACATCACATCCATCCACACAAACTACACATCACACACACACACACACACACACACACACACACACACACACACACACACATTGATTAAACCCAATCAGCAGCCAGAAGTCGGAAGAATTGGCCCTATGGACTGTACAGGCCACAGCATCTGGGGTCCCAGAGCAGGGTAGACAACAGTGAGGGGAGGATGGGGGGGGGTGAACAGGAAGTAACAGGACAAAAAAGCAGAGCATCACAAGTCTACCACCTAGAGGAAGTGCTTGGGAAGAATTCCTCGAGGACATTTTAGACTGTGTCTCTTGCCTAGGGCTGGGAGCACAACACAGTTTCTTTTTAAAGCGAAGTTAACCACATGTACTTGGAAGTCCCAAACAAAAGCTATTTTAAAGAGCTGCGGCCACAGCTCCATGGGAAAGCGCTTGCCTAGCAGCACGAAGGCCTGGGCTTCAGCCCAGCACTCCAGCACAAGCAAACAGAAGCCATGCAAAGAGGGACATCATGGCAGGTAACAGTTGCACCCACACACACTCAGAAGGACCCAAGTCGCTCAGAGGCAGTGAAGTTGGGGTTTCTTTTTGCTTTTAAGCAGAAATTTGTTACTTGAATTTCTTGAAATTCAAGTGATCTTGGTTTTTATACTACACTCCCGACTCTCTTTGGTAGAAAAAAATTAAATTTTTTTTGTTATTGTTGTTTCCTGGAAACTGCTGTGTACATCAGGTTGTCTTCCAACTCAAAGATTCACCTGATTCTGCCTCCCGAGTGCTAGGATTAAAGGTCTGCACAACCCAGCTTAATTACTTTTTTAAATTGCCATGTCCTGGATCCAAAGATGAGGAAAAGTGAACAGTGCTGTGGTGCACCCCACCCCCCACCCCGAGTCGAGATGGCGTTCATCGACTTCCCTGCTGGACAGGAAGCTGAGATGCAGCTCGGAATCCTGCTTAGTGTGAAGATGTGAACACACAGAGCTGCTTCCAGCTGTTTGAATTTGTCAGTCGCTGGGAAGAGACCAACACTCCACAGTAGTTTAGCAGCACCGGTCATAACTTGTGATCACCCTCAACTGTGCAGAGAAAGATCTGGCACAGGAATTGTGTTTCTTGGTTTCACTGATGGACTCGAGCTACAGGACCCCTGAGGGAAGCAGCAAGCATACAGCTGTGGAATTTCTCGATAAAACCATCTCATTGGATGTTTGAATTGGGATCTATGTGTCTATTCACAAGACCTTCATATCGAGAATCCCCAACCTCAGTCTTAAGGCTTACTACCTCAGTAACCACGGCATGTCGGCTCTGAGTCCCTACATGTCTGTTGCCTTCACGATAAAGAGGATAGACTCATCTACAGGCAACCTTCTCTCTTCAGAACCCAACAACATACAAGCCAGAAGTGATGGATCATGTCTGTAATCTCAGCCAGTGGGAGGCTGTGGAGAGCCGCCATGTGTCTGAGACCATCCTACAGGAGAATGACAATGTTCCATGTAAAGTCGCAAAGGATGAGTCCGAAGCCAACCAAATTGTTGGGGTTTTTTGTTTGTTTTAGATTATTTTCCCTTCATGGTGATATTGGCAGATTGGTCTTGCGATGTTTTAGGATGTGTTTTAGTAGCAGCCCCTGTGTATCAGGTCCGCCACCATTTAGAAATTCACCAAATGATTCACAAAACAGTGTCAAGTACACTCATAGCCAGAACTCCGGAGTCATGTCCCAAGGATGGATATGCAGCCAGCTTGAAGGCTTCCCCTATGGTGATATTTTATTTGTACTGAAATGTGATTTCATTTGTATGTTAATAAATAAAGTTGCCTGGGGAGTAAGCCATAGTGGGGCTGGGCGTTCGTGGTGCACGCCTTTAATCCCAGCACTTGTTAGGCCGAGCTAGGTAGGTCTCTGTGTGGTCAAGGATATAGCCAGCATTGGAGACACACACCTTTAATCTCAATACCAACCATAGAAGACCTGGAGATCTGTACAGACAGGCAGTGACGAGGCAGTCATGTGTAGACGTAACCAACCATCTTATTAAATAAGAAACACAGAACCAATGCAAAGAAGAAAGCCAAGAGATCAGAGCTAAGAGCCTTACCCACCTGCTGCAGCTAGCCAAGAGACCTCTCTGAAAAGGACCTACTTCCTGTGTGGTTGTCTTTATATAGTCTTTCTGTTCTGCCTTCTCATTGGTTGTAAACCAAAACACATGACTGCCTCGTCACTGCCTGTCTGTAGAGACTTCCAGGTCTTCTATGGTATTGAGACTAAAGGCATGTGTCTCCAATGCTGGCTGTATCCTTTAATACACAGAGATCTACCTAGCTCTGTCTACCAAGTGCTGGGATTAAAAGTGTGCGCCACCACCACCATGCTCTTGCTATGGCTCTAATAGCTCTGACCCCCGGGCAACTTTATTTATTAACATACAATTAAAATCACATTTCAGTACAAATAAAATACCACCATAGTCATGTGGTTGGGTTTACAACCAATGAGAAGGCAGAACAGAAAGTCTATATAAAGACAAACACACAGGAAGTAGGCCTCTCTTGGCTGAAGAGGATTGCTGAAGCAGGAAGGGTAAGGCTCTTAGCTCTGACCTCTTGGGCTTTTATTTTTACATTGGCTCTGTGTTTCTTATTTAATAAGACAGTTACTTCTTCTACATTCCCCCAGGACCTGTGGGGTTCCTCCTGTTCTCCTTCCTATTACAGTCACTCTTTACCAGTCAGGTAAACTGTGTGATCAGTTTGCACGCTGACAACCCACAACCTGGTCTTTGTCTTTGGGGTTTGCTCACAAAGGGACTCCATGTACCAACATTTCACACGCCCAGAAGGAACAACAGATGCTCAACAGTTGAGATGCTGTGACCCACCACAATTTAGGGACAGTTCTATAAAACAGTAGGGGAATGCCACCAGCCAAGTTCTCAGGCCCCAGTGAGCAGGCTTTGCTAGGAAGGCAGTCTCAGGCCTGCTTAGGCGATCCTGCTCACACAGCCACCTTCAGACTTACTCAACCTAGAAGACTCTGAGCCATTTCAGTTTGCACATCAGTAAAAGTGCATGGTTGTTCATTTGAGATCACTTCTGCTCCAGCTGCTCCGACTCTTTTCTCCAGAAGTTCTGTATCTTGAGTGTAACTGGATTGAAGGTGGGGAGGGAGCCTGCATCCACTCCTGCCTGGTGTATTCCTTCACTCTCCTCATTTTCTGCTCTCTCTCCAAGCCTCATGCCTGTCCTCATTGTTCATTCACGTGGCTGCAGTCTTTGCTTGGCTGCTCGTTGGCTGTCTTAGATAGTTCCTGCTCCTGTGATAAAACACTAAAGCAACTTAATTGAGAGAGTTTGTTCTGGCGCACAGTTGAAGGGTGCAGCCCATCATGTCAGGAAGGCACACCAGCAGAACGAGGCAGCTGGTGGCTTCGCATCCAGTCAGGAGGCAAAGCAGGAAGACTGCTGGTCTCACTTCCTGTGTTTTCATTCTGTTCATGATCCGGCCAACAAAAGGTGCCACCCACAGTTAAGATAGGTCTTCCCACCTCATTTAACTAGGTAATCCCCCCATGGGCGTGGTCAGGGCTGGCCCCCTAGGTCATTCACGAGCCTGTCCCATGGACAATCACTGTGAACTGGGACGTGAGCCACTGGGTTTCCCTTTGTAGTGTTGCACTAAAAGCGTCTTTTCAGTCGCGAACCTGAGAGCATTTTCAGAATTCCATGATTGTTTTCTTCCTATCGTAACCCCACTGCCACTCATCTTCGAAGAATGGGAATCTACCAAGACTCAGCCATTTCCAGGAGTGTTGGGACTTCCGCGGGTCACCACCTCTGGAGTCCTGGGTGTCTGTTGGTCTGTCAGACAAGTGATGGAGTGACAGACTGTGGCGGACAGCTTAGAGTCCTGTTCCCGGTACCCAAAGGTTGTAACTCAGTAAACATCTGTTAAACTGCTGGCCATCCTTTACCTCAACATCTGTGATGAGCTAAAGAAAAGGTGTGTTGGAGAGGATGCTCAGTGGCTAAGAACACTTACTGTTCTTGCAAAGTAACCAAGTCTGGTTTTCAGTATCCAACTCATAGATAGCTACCTGCAACTCCAACTTCAGAGGATCCAATGGCCTCTATGGGCACCTGCATATATGTGGTACACAAACACACTTTCTCCCTCCCTCCCTCCCTCCCTCCCTCCCTCCCTCTCTCTCTCTCTCTCTCTCTCTCTCTCTCTCTCTCTCTCTCTCTCTCATGCATAGACGTGTGCACATATAAATAAATTTTGAAAAGGAAAAAGAAAAGGAAAGGTGTGTCTAGAAAGAACCATGCCCAGAATTCCTGCTTCAAGGTTCCACTCCCTAACCCCCTACTGGTGTGTCTGTGGGGTTTCCCTCACACCCCAGGGTCAGGGGAGGGGGAAGATTGGTGACCTGTGGAGTCAGAGTGCATCCTGAGCCAGCTTGCCCAGGCCAGGTAACTCAACCCTGTCCCTGGTCTTGGGACAAGCTCTTTGGTGAACTGTGTGGGCAGCCTTGGCATGGTCAACCCAGTTCCTCACCCGGCATTTACTCTATGCTGAGTCTAAGCCACAATAGTTGCTTTTGACTTTCTTCATTGTCTTAGATTTCATGAGATACTGATATCAGCACACTTAGGGGACCATTATCAAAGCATCATTTTAGAACCAACGTCCTAAAAGTCCTAGTTAGGGAACTTTGGGGACCATAAAGAATAATGCACCTTAGGCAATCCAGGGAGATTCCCTAGAATCTCAATGGAGAAGTACAGACAGACATGTGGACACCAACAAGGCCAGGTGGTGGTTTATCAAGGCTCACAGAGAGTGAGGAGTGCCAGGAATTAGAAGCTCTGCTTCCAGGTTCTGACTCTGGGACCGACTGGCTGTGTGACCTTGGACAAGGCAGGGCTCTCGCTTTGTTTACAAATACAGGGATTGGTCTAGAAAGTTTCCAACACGCCTCCAGTCCCAACATTCATCATTCTTTTTGGATGCAGTGATTCAGTGGGAACACTTGGGAAAGAGGGATCGGCTGACCTTGGGCTGACCTTGAGCTGACTGATCAGCTCTGGCAGCCAAAGGAACACAAGGAACGCACCCCTCTCCAGCCCAGCCTCATGCCAGGGTGCGTTGCTTCTGCTCTATTCCAACTTCTCTCCCTCATCTCTGTCTCTTGGAATCCCTCATAACCAGACAGCCTGTGTGCTGTGTGACCACCCAGTTTACCAAGCTGTCATCCAGTCATTTCATGTCACTGTGTGTATGTGTGCATCTGATCTCAGGCTCCCTCTGAAATGAAGCCTATTCTTTCTTTCAGGACTGATTCATGGCTCAGCCACAGGAGTCGGACATTGCCTCATGCTGGTGGTGAGGCATGGGCCTTTTGTTAGGCCAAGTTTAGACGGGAGCTCCAAGGCACAAGTGAGTAATTTCTGATGCATCAGGGTGTGCAAAGCTTCCTCCAGCTTTGCAGACCTGGGGGCCTGGCCCGAAGGCGCCTCCACTCTCCAGGTGGCGTTTTTTCTCTTGTATTCAGATTCTAAATCTACTGTCTGACAGGCAGAGATGAGTCAGTGCCCCTGGTAAAGAGCAGGCAGGCACCCTGCTGTCTCCTGGGTCTGAACTTGGGTGTGAACCCGCTTGGAGCAATGAGAGGAAGCAGTAAGACCTCCAAGGGCTTTGGAGCCCTGTCCTCTCTTTGGAGGCACAGGTGGCAGGTGGTTCTCCCCACCATGCTGGAAGTAGGAGGCTGGCTGCCCTGTATTACCTTCAGACATATTTTTACTCCCAACTTGATAGGAAGGACAGGAAGCATATTTAGCAGATTATGAGACAACTCTGAACCAGATATTCAAGTTAATACAAAATCCCCCCAGGGGCGTAAATAATCTAATTAGCCATTAACACATAAACAGAGCAATCACAGCTCTCAAAAGTACTTGATGTTCTCTATCACACCCTTTCAAGACTGGCACTCCTGCCCCTCTCTGTAATAAGCTTTAGAAAAAGGCAAGAGTGTGGAGAAGCCCCTTCATCACTCACATCATGAAATGCTACAAGAGAGAAAATGAACACGTCTTGAAGCATCTTTGTCTGGGGCTTTCCCCAATCTCACTGCCTGGACCTTTTACCCCCTTCTCCCCCTCCCGCAAAGGTGGTGCATACAGCCCTGTGTTTCCTGCACAAATGCATAGGCTGACCAGAGCATTTTCCACACTGTCGTGTGCATTTCTCTACCTTTGCCTCAGTCTCAACCCCCAGAGATTAAGACGCATGTCGACTCACCACTTCTGACAAATCTGTGCAGAGTAGGTGCTCCATGGTCAGCTTGAATCCCAGGAAATATGTACTAAATGTACTAATGTACTAAATGGTGATGCCCCTGAGAAGGCGGGTCAGAACTGTCGGCACAAACAGCCTGTGTGTGTTCGGTCTATGCAACTGGTAAACATCTGTTGACAGCGCTATGTACCAGGTGTTCTGCTACACACTGGGGCGTGGAAGAAAGATGACCACCACAGGAGTTTACACGTAGTGGGGAGGCGTAAAATAAACAAGTCAAACAGAACGGCTGTTCAGATAAAGCAAAAGGATGGACTGCATGGGATTGGGACGATCTCTCTGTCTTCTTTAAAGTAAGTTCTGAATAGTAAAAAGTGGGGGGGGGGGAGACAGAGAGAGAGAGAGGGAGAGGGAGAGGGAGAGAGAGAGAGAGAGAGAGAGAGAGAGAGAGCCAGCACACTGTCCCTGTAGCAGAAATAAACTTGGCATGGTAAAGAAACAGAGTGAAGAATACATGCAGGGCGGGGGAGCAGGAGTGGGTGGCTTGAGGTTGGAGAGCAGGCTGGGACCAGGTCCCACAGGTTACTGTTAGTGCACTGGGATGCCACTGTGGTGCCCTGGGAAGGGTCCAGGTGAGACTTCTTGGAGGCATTTTGAGAAGAGTCCCCTGGTAACCAGGGACTTCTGCTCTTCCTGTGTGGAAATGCCCCTACACCCCTCCTCTGTACTCCGGGGAAGAGGGATGTCTTTTTCAGGCACTGGGCCTGCTCAGCTGTTGGGATGTCTGTCTGTACCTTCATGGGAGGGAGATGTCCTTGAAACAGAGTGGGTTCCTTGAAGAAAGAAGCCACAAACTTGGCGTTGACCAACTTCTCATTAGCCAAGTTTCTTTCAGTTGGGAGTAATAAACACAATGCAAATTAGGGAAAGTTGAAAGGCCATTTGTTGGAAGCCAAAGTCATGGCAGGGGTAGATTATGCCTCAGGGAATCTGTGTCAAGACTCTCTCTGTCACTGGATGCTCCCCCTTCTGTATTTTTTGTGATTTTATTCTCTCTTGTCTAGAAGAGCGTCTTCCCAAATGGAAGCGCTGCCCATGCCTTTGGAAGGCCCACATTCTGGAATCAGTTCTTGGAAATGTTCTAAGTCCCCTCCCAAACCTGATTATCAGTGCCATCTGGACAGGGTACCCTAAGCCAAAGCCTCATCTCTTCACCGTGGAGCATCTTCATGTTGTCACTGCTCTGTGTGTCACCCAGATATTCTGAGGAACTTCAAGGCTCTCCTCTGTGTGATTATCCCGAGACCCTGGGATTTAGACTCAGTTCATCACCAGGAAGATGGCCTGGTGGGGAGATTACTCCCGTAGGCTGGTGTGGTATTTCTCTCACTGAACCTCATGAACTCAGAGATGTTTTGGCATGCTAGCTCAGGAAGTTCTTTTTGTTTGTTTGTTTTGTTTTGTTTTTCAAGACAGGGTTTCACTACGTAGCTCTGGCAATCCTGGAACTCTGTTTGTAGGCCAGGTTGTCCTTGAACTGAAGATCTGCCTGCCTCTGCCTCCTGAGTGCTAGGATTAAAGGTATGTACCACCATTGCCCAGTAACCCAACTTAAGATGTTCTTAACTCCCACCTGTTAGGAAGAGTGCTGGGCTGCATTAGCCCCAGGCTGCACTGTCTGGACACCCAGGCATCTCTCTCTGCTGCCTGAGTTCTGATTATGGTATGCACTGCTCTTTGCTGGGCTCTGTCCCAAACTGTGTCTGGTCCTCCAAGGGTTCCAGATCATTGTTGCATAAGGCCAACAAGCCATTCCAACTTAGGATTGCTGTCCTCTCTGGCTCATGATTGATGTGCTGGCTTTGTGTCCACATTCCAGATGAGTAACACTGAATGACTGTGCTCTGGCCCCTGCCCATCTCACTCACGTGGATGGGGCCCACAACCATTGGTAGTTGGTATCTTTCTGCTGCATTTCCATTTGTCTCTCCTCCCTCCTCAGTGTAGATAAGCCTTACACAGACAGACTAGTTAGTTCAAAGGAGGAGCCATTGAATGAAACCGCCTGTTCACTCAGATTGACTTGGAAATAACTCAGATATTTTATGATTGCTCCTTGAAAATTAGAAAGGGATTCTTTGCACACACCCAACAGCTTACCTTGCCAAAGTGGCCAGGAGACACGGGGCTTTTCTTCACTTCTGCTCCTCCCTCCTAGTACCTTCTTGTCCATATTTGTGATGCCCAATGTGAAGCCTTCCAGAAAGGCATGGTTGGTAGTGCCTGGAATATACCTTGTCTAATTTGGTATGATTTTAAATACTTGGCATGAAAAAAAAAAGAATTGAAGACTATCTATATAATATTTGAATTTTTAATTTATATTGAAGAAATATTTTTAAATGCATTGGCTTCAATTAAATATATAGTTAGGACTAAATTTCACCCATTTCCTTTTTATTTCATCAGATGACTGCTAAGAGTATAGGGTGGGGGTGGAGCTCAGCATGGGTGACGCCCAGGGCGCCATCCCCAGCATCAGAGAGAAGGGGAGGGGAGGGGAGGAAAGGAAGGGAGAGGAGGGGGGAGGGAGGAGAAGGGAGTGATGAAGAAGGGGGAGGGAAGAGGAGGGAGAGGAGGAGGGAAGGGGAAGATAGGGGAAGAAGGAGAGGAGGGAAGAGCAAGTGGGGGAAAGGAGGGGCAGAAAGAGAGGGGAGGGGAGGGGAGAGGATGTAGGAGGTGAGGGGAGAGGATGTAGGAGAGGAGGGGAGGGGAGGGGAGGAAGGGAGGGGGCAAGGAAAGGAGAGGGACGGGGGAAGGAGAGAGAGGAGAACCTGCCTTCACATCCAGAGCTCACTGTGTGGCTCCAGGATGCAATGCTGGCCAAGTCACCTCTGTGAAGGTTTTCTCCTTCATTCCTTCCCCTGTGATTTTCCTAACTATCTTCATTCAGAAACACAGACGCTCTAGGCACTGACCTGGCAGAAATGAGACTCGTTGGGTGGGGACATCAATGGCAAAGGCTCCTCACCGGCAGTCTCACTACTTCATTGTTCTCACATGTGTTGAGTAGCATTTGGTTTAAAACAGATTTTTGCAGTTCATTCTCAGTTCATGCTTTATTGCTAAAAACATATGCATACAGGTGCAGTTTCAAACTCTCACAGCAGCTCCTTCCAAGGAGTCAAATTCCTTCAAAACTCCCAAAGACGCACAGATTATGAAGCTGCCTTTTTCAGGGCTCCAAACATTCAGTGACGCTCTTTTAACGTCACCTCATACACCAATGGAGCAACGGAAGGTCACGCACGGAGGAGCAAGAGAACAGCAGCACCTGTACTTGAAGAGCAGACGTCCCACCACTCTCACCTAGATTACTTGAATATTCTTAATCCTTTTCATTATAGGGATGGGTGGGTGTAAAGTTAATGCCCAGGCTAGTAATGCTTAAAAACTGATACTATGCTGGCAGATCCTTGGGATAGGGTGTCAGTGCTTAGGACTGGCCCCAAGGTCCAAGTGGTCTCCAAGACTATAGCCCAAGCAAAAAGAAGCACATTTAAATTAAGGACACGGCACACAACTACCAAAGGTGTCAAAATGTTTTGAAAATCATCAGTAATCATAACTATATTCTGCCTTTAAAGGTGTTTATAAGTCTAAGCTCTACCAAATATACATTTAATTTTCCTGTGCGATCCGTTTTAATTGACTCTAGGGGACTATTGGGCAAACAGTGCTAGAAGAAAGAGCTCTGACCTTGCATCGTTATTGGCTGGCAGGTACATCAGTGAGTGGCAAAGAACATTTCTGTCTGGAATACACTGTACTTCTCAATTCTGTATTACGTGGAAAGTGAACATCACACTGATAACCTAATTCAGTTCTGAACAATGGAAGTTACTTTTCTAGGTGACATCCACAGCAATAAAATAATTATTTTAACAACTGACTTTGTCTCGGTTGAAATTGACATCATAAAGTTTCCCTGCACAGAAAACAGTATGGAATGGGTGGAAAGAGGGAATCATTTTCTTCCCTCTGAACCCTGGCATTCACATTCACCCCAGTTTCTTTCATTGACGAGGAAGCCCACCCTCACACCTCAGGTGACACAGCCCACACAAGACATGGGCTCCTTTCACTTCAAGTTGGCAAGCAGGGGTGTCGGCTGTGTTTTCTTTACTTTGATAAATTATTTTCTAATCCACAATCACCAACAACTTAGGATACTCCATTTTTCTCTCTCCACCCAGGAAACTCTCCTGAACCATAAAAGCAAAGCTACCAGGACTTCATACCCCCGACAAATATGCCTGGGAGTTTGAGAACACGGCCCAAAGCCCTTGACAAATCCTCCTAATAAGGTAGTTGGGCGTACAAAAGAGGCCTTGCTCTAAGCTTTGAAACAGTTCTTATCTGATGATCTTTTCAATCTGTTTCTGTGGGAGATTGAAAAGCAATGCGTACCGATAGCTAATGGGAGGCTTATCTGGATGCCTAAGTATTCACATGTGTGCGGTAGAAACATTCTACAGTTAATGGAGGAAAGAGGATCACGGGCTTGGCGGCCATCCTTCAAGACCTGCGGAGGAGTTAGTTATTCTGGGTGTTTTCTAGTCAAAGGTTTAAAAGCAAACTGCTCGTCATTATCAACCTGTGGGCTTGAGATAATACAGGGGCGTGAGAAGTGGCCTCCTCCAACCTCTCTCTAGTGAAATCAGGGACAGGGCGCTCTCTCAGCTCTGTCTGTAATGCAGTACGCCGTTCTCTGCACGTGAGAGCACACACTTACAGTTTAAGGCTATGTTAGTCTTTGCTGTAGTTTTATGTTTCAGACAATTGCTTGCTCATGTTCATTGAGGAAGAGGAAGTAGAATGTTATGCAACTGGATGGAATCTCAGGAATTAATGCTGATATTTGGTAAGCTGTTTCCTCTTCTTCGTGTGTCTAATTCATGCTTTTCTGGACAAATGTCAAAACTGCAGCCCTCATCAGAAATCTGTGTGCACATGGTCATTTGTGTGCACATCTATGTGCTTGTGCACCTAGACCTTGGCCAGAGGTCATTGCCAAGTGTCTTTCTCTATTACTCTCGGTCTTATTTTTTGGCATAAGACCTCTCACTGAGCTCAGCTCACTGATTGGATAGACTAGCTGGCCAGCAAGTTACAGGGTTCCTCCTGTCTCTGACTCCCTGACCACCACCAGAGTTGGGGTTACAGGCATGTCTTGCCACACTCAGCATTTTACCTGGATGCTGGGGACTTGAGCTCAGAGCCTCCTGCTTGTACACTGGGCACCATACTGGCTGAGCCGTCCCCTTAGCCTGCCTCAACAGAAATTTTAAACTCAAAACAAAAACTTCTGAGTTCTTCGTTAACTTCCTGGTGTAATTCTCTTAGAGATTTATTTTTGAATGAGCACCATTCTTAATGTAGATTCTTCACTATTGCCTCATCCCTGGAGAGGTGAATGTATAGGCATATTCAAGCAGGTTTCTCTGCTTGGCTCAGAAAGCCCTGTTTGCTTTTCCCCTTTGGACTGAAGTCCCTAGGGGAGATTGAAGTTTGAATGGGAAGCTTCTGTGGAAATACAGACTAAAGTTAAGCCAAAATTAGACAGTCTATAAGGTCGCCTGGCTCCGGCCTGAGGCCAGTTGCACAGAGATCCCAGGAGCAGCCTTCAGAGTGCTAGTCATCAGCCAAGTGTGACACATGGTTGCGTGTTCCTCAAGGTCTTCTTGGGCTGCCTCCCAGCAGCTTCTGAAGCCTGTTCCAAGGCTAACACTTGGTGTGTGTGTGTGTGTCTAATCACTTTAGATAAGCCAGTCCTGTTCTGACCTGGGCCTGTGGAGTTCTGGCCACACACTGCACACCCAGGGGGTGTGGAGGTGGGGAGCAGAGGCCAACCACTTCTGAGTTAGAGATCTGCTCTCGTTGGCTGCTGTGTCCCACAGGAAAGCACATTCTAACGCTCTTCCTGTGCCTACGATTTGCGGCTGAGAAGCTAATGAATGACTGAATCCTACCATTCGCCTACAACACCCAAATCCCAAATCTGATCTTGGAGAATTACATCTTGAATGTGATTTGTGCAGATCCATATCCTGACCCTGTCTGCAGTGTGGCCTGGCGTGGCAGGGTTAGGAGTGGAAACTGTTGAAGGGCTATGGATGCCAACGATGGTCAGGCGAGGTCCCCTCCCTGTGTGCTGCTTCTCATGTTAAATATCTGCACGCTGCCCGGGTTTTTTGTTTTTTTATAGGCAAACTGTGAGATGACTTCCATACTGTGAAGGAAAGCAGAGGCAGACTCCAAGCCCAGAAGAAGTCTCTACACTAAAAGAACTTTTATCATGAGCTTGTCTGGAAGCCAGAGACAGGCTGCCAGAGCAAGCTGCAGGCGGTGACTGGAGGCTTGGAGGATGTTTCCCTTGAAGTCTGGTGGTCAGTTCCTGCCACTTGTGGTAATGAACCCATCTTGTCCCACCAAAGGGTAAAGCTATTATTTAGAAGGGAGAGGCCCATTTTAAAATTCTGTGTTAACTGATATATATGACAGAAACTTTTATGTTGCAGGAATGAGGGCAATTTGTTTAATGTCAGGTTTGCCTCCTCCCTTTAGAACCGTAATTTTAAAAGAGCTGTTTCCCCCCATTAATACTGTGAATCGAACCCAGGGCCTGCAGCCTGCAGACAAGCACTACTGTAACAGCTTTTAGTGAAACAAGTTAGTGTACTACAAAGTGGGCTGGCCACTCCCTACCTGCCTCCCCCAGGTTTCCCAGTCATGTAGGTCTGTCTTCGACCTGGATGAGGTACAGGGCAAGGGGTGACCATGGCAGCTGCCGTGTGCACAGCCAAGTGTGGGGCCTTCACTCTGTCCTCACAGCCCTCAGCCTAGTGGGAAAACAGTGTGGCAGGATGTGGGGGCCCAAATTCCTCAGGACCAGAGACTCTGAGCTTGCTTTACCCAGCAGGGCTGCATAATGGGATGATTTGATCATGGGCGTGGTTACCAGGTGTTTAGAAGGGTCTACACTTGGCTGTACAGTGTGCTTTGATCCTGCAAGGGGGAGGTCTTTTGCCTCTCCCCTTGGCAATGTTTAAAAAGCCCCTTTGAATAAACCTAGGCAGCTGGGTATTGCAGGGCCCTCCTGAAGCTATGCTGTGTCTCTGTCTTTCTTCTCATCGTCTAGGTCTATCTTTCTACCTAATTTCCTCATTCCTCTCTCCTCCACCAAGAACCCTGCAAAAGGTGGGAGCAGGTCAGAGCTGGACTCCCACAGGGGGAAAGAAAGGAAAAAGCATAAGGGCCATGAAGAAAAAAGTCAGATCGTGTGCTGCAAAATCCCGTGGAGGATCATCAAAAGTGAGCATAAGATGGGGAGGATGCGGATCAAGGGTGGGGTTGTGGGAAATGGAGGCATGTTTGAAGAAGGGTGAGTCATTCAGCTGGGTTGGAAAGTCAGAGGAGAGGGGTGGGGGAAGGGGAAGTCTAGGGAGAAGAGAGAAGCCATGCTGTGGCTGAGAAAGGGCTAGAGGCTCAGAGTCACTGAGATACAGCAGATGCGTGGGGGTGTGGCTGCCTAGGTGAGGATGTGGTTCTCAGCTGAGGCTGCACATTAGAATCGCCTGAGAACTTCAAAATAAAACAAAACTGGACAGTTGCCACACAAGGACAAATGCCACATGTTGTCAGTTACATATCAGGGCTGAACTATGGATCTCACAGAAATATCGAGCAGAAGTGTAGCTCCCAGAAGCTGGGAGGATGGCTGATAGGTCCAGAGATGGAGGTGGGTAGGAGAGGTGACTCCTAATGCTCTATGACACAGCAGGGTAGCTTGCTAGCTAGCAGAGATGTTCTTTCATGTTACTAACTGTACTAGTCAGATCTGTTGAGACAGAATGACCTATGTCAATAAAATCAACCTTGGATCAGGGGGGTGGAGCCAACAACTAGCTGATAGGAGTTAGCCATAGAGAATACGGAGGAGCTAGGAATGCAGACAGAGAGACGCACAGGAAGGAGTAGGGAGGGGCTTGGAGTTGCTTGGTCTTTTTGGTTTGGGATGGCTAAAGAGATGCATTCTTGGTGGGTCTCTGGCCAAAAAGGAAGGTCAGCTTGGCCTCTCTGATCTAGCAGGTTTTCACCCCAGCATCTGACTCCCAAGTCTTTATTGGTAAATAGAATGACAGAGACTTAGTTTAAAACAACAGACCCGGTACTAGCAATAAGGAAGAGAGGATTTATTTGGGCTCCTGTTTTCAGGGGTCTCAGTCCAGAGCCTTTGACTTGTGAGTCTGAGCCCACAATAAGGCAGAACATCATGTGGCAGTGATGGGAACACGTGGCAGAGGTCACTCACCTCAGGGCAGACAGGATGCAGAGAGTGAGACGGGCTGGAGACCAGGTACAACTTTAAATCATGTCTCTAGGGACCTACTTCCTCCAGCTTGACCCCGCCTCCTAAGTTCCACAACCAGCTGTTCCATGTGTGAGCCTTTGGGGACGGAGGTTCATATTCAACCCACAACACCAAGAAATGATTCATATTCTACCTTATATATAAGCTGGCCGGCCTCATTCCTCATCTGATACCACACTTTGTGTGCATGTCCTGAACTATCACACTCCATCCATTGAGTGTGCACGACTGTAGCATGAATCTTAAAAGAACTTATTAATTAAAACAAACCCGGAGCCAGGTATTGGGGTGAATGCTGGAAGATCAGAGAAGCAGAACAAGCCACAGCTACCTCACCTTGCCAATTCCTCAGCTGATCCTATTTTCTCAGACTGGAAACCTCTGAGTCCTTATCCAGGTGGATCTCAGCTGAACTGCTGCTCAAAAGCCTAAAAGTTTAACCAGCCTAATTCCTGGTCCTCATGCCTTATATACCTTTCCGCCATCACTTCCTGGGATTAAAGGTGTGAGTCACCATGCCTGGCTGTTTCAGTGTGGCCTTGAACTCACAGAGATCCAGAGGGTTTTCTGCCTCCAGAAGACTAGGATTAAAGGTGTGAGTGCCACCGTTTTCTAGCCTCTGTATCTAGTGGCTGTTCTGTTCTTTGACCTCAGATAAGTTTACTAGGGTGCACAATATTTTGGGGAACACAATGACACCACACACAGCTTGGTTCTTAAAGATTTTAGTTTGGTTGGTCTGGGGTACGGCCTAGGTGCCGGGTGTATAAGAACTCCCCGTGATCAGTGACTCCGAAATAAAGCCAGGGTCAAGCAGTACAGGCTTAGGAAAGATTTTGATTCAGAGGATGGGTCTTCTTGAGAATGTGCAAGGGATGCTAGCATTCTGGGCCGTGGACCATCTTTGTGATAGCGATGAGTCTATGGCCTGCAGGCTGCAATCTAACTGCTTCTGGGAGGACAGAACAAGAAGACCTTTGACCTCCTTCACTGGGCCGATCTTGGGATGCTGGCATCAGCCGAGAGAGGACTGCTTCAGTCCCCTGTACTTTCGGTACTTACGGACAAATGGAGGCTCTAAAATAGCTTCGGAGGATGTACGCAGACCTTACCAGAATCCGTTTCCAGGTCCTTGGAGTGCATGCTAAGAGCGCCCCTCCTCTCCTCTGGCACTTCTTCCCCATTTTCCTCCTCACCTTAACAAAGTAAGACTTCCCTGTAACAACCGTGCCAGGCACTGTGCCAGAGCCTCAGGCAAGGGCAGGGAGACAGCACAGGCTCCAGGATCCGCAGCAGAAGCAGGCAAAGTGTGCACCTGGTGCAGTCCAGGCCGTCTCTAGCAAAACAGACTTGTCTTTCTCCCCAGAATTAGACTCTTTAAATGAGACAGTTGTCAGGAAGGCAGGTAGTAACATGCTCCTTTGAATTATGGAAGTCATGCTTCTTTTACCTAAAGAAGTCTGGGCCGGTGTGACAGCAAGGGCGGCTGTCACAGTGAGATCCCTCAGTAGTGGCCACATAGATCCAGCTGTGTGAACCAGCTCTTATGCAAAGCCTTGCACGTGTAGCTCATCCAGCCTTTCCAACAGCCTGTTCCATTATTCATTCCATTATTTCCAATTACAGAGAATATTCATGTACAAGAGATTAATAATTTGCCCATGACAGAGTAGATGCAGTTGAAATAGGGCAGAGGTTTTTTTCATAAATTATGTTAACTAAATTTACACTTCCAATATTTTGACAAAAAGTAAAGTTTGTACATATTCAATATAATGCTCTGGCATTTTAGGTAATTGTTTAAATATATAATATAAACCTTTATAAGTTTTTAAATGTACAATAAGGTCAATTCTTTGAGGAGGTTTATAAGCAATATATTTGAAGATCACTGACTTTGAGCCAAACAGCCCCAGCTAAGACTCTTGGCTCAGTCCCTATGCTGTGCTGGCCAAGCCCCACCCTTTCTGAGACTCAGCCCTCATCTGTAAAAATGAAGACAAGTGTCTCTTTTCAGCAAGGTTGTTGGAAAGATCAGATGAGATATCCCAAGAAGCGGCCTGGCTTGTAGCCCACTCTGCTGAATAGTAAGAATCATTAACATAGTTGGCATCTTGGAAACCTTCCTGGCATGGGAGGAGGGTCCATTTAAGTGAGCATCCCCCCCTTTGCTAAGAGCAATGGTTCCCACATTTGTTCCCATGGAAATCTCATGTGGAATGGGAATATGATGCAGCTAGGCTCCATGTTCCCATTGTCTTCCCTTTTCAAACTTTCTCAAAGAAAATCTCAAGACATGCCTTCTCCGAGAAGCTTCCCTGAAGTCGGTAGGACCACAGTGGCCTTTCAGACCCATCATGCTAGGAGCTTCATAAACAAATAATGGGCTGATGATGAATTCTGGGAATAGGGTAATAAATGAGCCAGGCATTTCTCCCACCCTCACCAAACTGGTGATCCAGTAAGGAGAACAGGAATCCACTGGTTGGCATGGTGACAGTGGACCATCAGGGCCAGTGGAAGAAGCCCAGAGAAGGTACCTACCAGGTTAAAGTCACCAACAAGAGTGTCCTAGAGAAAAATTGTCTCAACTAAAATGTAGGGGGCAATCGGAAGGCACGCTGGATTCTGAGAACTGAGATTTCCTTAACATTAGCTGTGGAGATAAATGTTTATGGGTCTTGAACTTGATGTCACTCATTTCCTTGCCCTCCTAGACAATGGCATATACTTGGCAAACATAAAGAATCTCTCCTCTAAGTTTTGTGTTTACAGTTCTAGTTGCTCAATTATGCAACACCACAGCTAACAGGCAGTAAGTGTTACTAAGCTTAAGAGGAAGGGAGGCCTCTTGGAAATTCTTGTGCTGTGTCTTCTCTGGGGCTGGGCAGCACTTCATGAAACCCAGTCTAGCCAGACAGGGCCTACCAGAATCCCACCTGTTGGATCCTAAGGCATGAATCCCTAAGAGGCAATATTCTGATGTTCACACGTGACTCCAAAATCAGGATTTACCTGGGAGCACTTGGGCAAAGGAGTGTATGCCCACTGATCCCCCGGCTGGGGCTTTGGGCCAATAATGGTGAATGGTAATGCTGTGACTTGTCTCAGCCTGCATCTGCTGTCCCAGACCAGAGAAAAGCAGAGTCATCAGTGGGGATGAGAGGGCAGGATGGTCTGTTCACACTCGCTTGTTCTTAGCAAGTCAGATCCAGTCACTCAGCTGACAGCCTCAGCTTGTCTTGTTGCCCCAAAGTGACCTTTGCCAAACCCCCACCCTCACCCCAGCTCACACCCTTCATGCTGTTCTGTTCAAGCCCACAAAATTCACAGACTCAGGGAAATAAGCCCTGTTCACCAACAAACCAAAGCCAGCTGGGACTGGATATTCTTTTTAAGACCCAAAATGAAGACCTTCTGGGATACTTCAGAATCTTCGATTTGTGGGATGTTCCTGGAAAGCTTCTTGTGTTCCCAAGAGCATGAAGCTGATTCTCACACTGCCAAACCATCCCAATCTTATGGTTGGCTCCAGAGGGTTGGTGGTGCCATCCCGGCAGCCTAACTCCTGACCCCTCTGCTGAAGAAGGCCACACTTAAGGCAGATCAAGCTGTGTGTTTTCCAGTTGCCCACCTTCAGTGCTGATTTTCCTGTGGTTATGCCAAAAGAAGTTGCCCAGTGAGTGAAAACACAGAGGAGACTCTGAAGTCCATGGGAAAAGCAAAGCACAATGTAGGAAGCCAGACTCAGCTAATCGGCCTCAAAACTTTGACCCACACGTGAAGGGTTTGGTTCATAGACCAAGGTGCTCAAGGCTTACCTTGCCCCAGAGAGGGAGACCAGCCCCTTGAGCCAAGCCGATCCAGCCACTTCCAGAGAACCCCTTTTGTGAAAGCAGGCCTGTCCCTACTGAATCCTGTCGTATGCCTGTTGGTGGCCCCAGTCACTTGATTCTGTCTCATGCATGTGGTTGACTTTTGTAAACATTCACAATCGGGAATAATCCTCTCTTGCATCCTCCCTCCTGGACCACAGAACAGACAAACATTTCATTTGCAGCAAGGACAGGCTCCTGAGCTAATGGTTTCCCTGGTGCTATTTCCACAATAAGAGGTTTCTACCCCCAATCCAGCCCCCGCTGTGACCCTTGCTTAGGATTTCTTAGAAGCATGCCTTCTTTTGGAGGGGACATCTTGTGGTATGGTCTTTGTGGCTTGCTACCATCTTTTCTAAGGTCCATGCCAGGTAAACATTCAACATGGGCCAATGCCTCCAGCCAAGTGAGGCCTCTGAAAGAAAAACACACAGACCCTGCTGCTGGGACCAGTAGCCACTTGCTGTTAGCTGGGAAAGGACTGCCATTCGTTATTGTCTCAGAGCTGACACCATGCCAATCCGCACATCTGGAATCAGTTAGGAAGAAAGAAGAGCATGAAAGCCAGGGTCTCATGACCCTGCCGTCTTCCTTTCTGTAGCTCTATTTAATTCACTGGTTAGAGCGATAAGTGGGTCTCCAGTATAAGTACAGAGACTAAAGGAAAAAATAACTCACAATGGCACAACATATTATTTCAGGGGGCTTTGTATCTAAATAAACACTTGTTTGAAGCTGCACATCATGCTGTACTTTAATCCCCATGCCAAGCCTTTGGGAGCCCAGCCTTGAGGTCCGTGTCTTTCCCAAACTTGGCTGACTCTGCTTCGTAGTCCCAAGGGCTCAGAATTTGCACTTATTGGATGTGGTCACACGGAGAGAGTTGGGTGTTTGCAGGCCACAAAGACACACACTTCTTATCCTTCCTTGTCTCCTTGAAACTGCAAGCAACCAGAAAGTTCAGCAGGAGCCTGAACAGCACCAACACGTGATGCTGGTTGGTGGTCCTGCAGATGACATCAGGATCCACAAGTCCTTGGGGCCTACTTTAGGGCTTCTTGCTTTTGGAGAAGTGGCCCAGAGAAAAATCAGGTCTAATTTTGAGAAGACTGAATGAATCAAGCCTTGGGGTATTGAGTATATGCTATACCATGAAGAAGAGAGTAAAAGATGGTTTAATGTGAAAAGTCAGAATAAGTACGTATAAATATGACTTCTTTGGGCTCTCCTGAGTCTCCCAAATCATCAAGTACTAACAAGAACCAGAAAGCCAGCCCAGCAGTCCTGGCTCCAGTTTCTGCCTGAGGAGTTGCAGTCTACCTTGCTGACATGGCTTCCTCTTGCCCGGATGATGAATCACCTCTTCTGGGAAGATGCTGGGACCCCTGCCCCCCTCCCTGCCCACACCAGCTGTATGGTGTGGCATGTGGTTGGTACTTCCCTTAGGAGCTGCTTTTGCG